CCAGATATAAGCCCTCCAGTTATATAAGCCCATGTAATGTATAAGTGCAATAAATGTATTATAAATGTAATAGCTCTAAAGGTAATGGTACGTTCAGATACGTTTTATCTCGTCTTTTCGAAACACATTTTTTTATTCCGCTTATATGCCCCCTCCGGATATAAGCCCCACCGTTTATAAGCCACCCAAAACCCCTTAGGAAGCTACATTAGCCCAGGGGTTTAACGTGGGATTTTACGGTATGTTGACGGTCCCATAATGATTCTTTCTCTTTCATGATTTTCATTGCAGGCGGTTTGTTTATCTTCTCCATCCGTGTAGACTCGTATGATCCAGCAGGTCTGGGCTACAGCGACAAGTGTGTAGAGTTGGAGAAAACTGGTAAATGGAGTCTGGTGTTAAAAGAAAAACGGGAGCTACACGCCACACCCAACGAGGAAAAATATCGAGATTGTTATCTGATTACTTACAAAATATTGAAGTGAGCAGTACAGGTCGAAAATACCTCAAGGCAAGGAGGACGGTCACTTTACAATGGACAAGCAAATATTCAGTCTGAAGCTTAACTATATTTTGTGAAATAGAGGCAAGCGTTAGAATGATTTTTGTTGTTGATGATGTGTTTGACTTCGTTAGACTCCCTTCTCATGTGTACACGTTGCCAAGCCCCAGCCAAACGATCGCAACAACGTGTTGCAACATATTGGATGTTATTGGCCCAAGTTTCAAAATGATCAAATTTTAGCCAACAACACCCAACATGTCGCAACACGTCGCAACAGAGTGGCCAACCGCTTATCGATCCGGGGGGAGGTACTATGTAAATCTTTGGGCTGGGGTGTGCCACTAGGACACGAAACCCTTACCCTATAGTAGACCATGATCTGCTTGATTTTGCAACCTTATTCTAGACTAGACACCTAAAACCGCTACCTTCTCCCAGACTAGCTATTTTTAATGCAGAAACTTTGTAACTATCGTAGTCCAACATACGCTAACTAAACCAATATCATACAAAGTCACTTCCGAGTTTCAACTTCCATCATAGAACCCTTGGTAAAAAAAAAAACCCTGTTCTGCACTAAATGAGCTCTACACTGGCCACTTTTCGAGTGAACTATACCCCATTCTAGACCAAGACTGTCTGATTTCTATACCCTATCCCACACTAAACCGCCTGAAAACCATACCCTTCGCAGCGGCCCGTACCCATATAGCTCATATATCGGAGTATATATCTATCTTCCCCCGTGGTTGCGATACCGTGACTGACATTTATTATATGGCCAGCTCCGTGAGCGGGCAAGATGAATCAAATCCTACGCTGTGATTGGCTACCCGAGCGGGCAAGATGGAGCTATCTTGCCCGCT